GTAACTCATTCGCATTGCCTTTTAGAACCTTTCGATAGAGGGGACCAAAACATCGCTGTGGATTCTCAATCTGGAGAAGCAGAGGCTGCACACCAAGGCTGTCATGGATGTCTGTATTCCGGACCATGTCGAGACGCGTAAGGCCATTAATGAGTCTAAGATAGGCCACTTCAGCAGCCTGTACCCGGGTTCGAAGTTTCTCAGTGATGGTCCACGACTCACGACCGTAGGTAAGTATGGGGGATAAAGATAGATTTGAACACCGAGAGCTTGGATTCCAGACTGAGCTCCGCTTTGGTCACAGTGGGTCGGACTGGTTCACGTAGAAAGCCACTGGCTACTCCAATTCGCCGGTCGATCTCTTCCTCCAACTTTCTATCACTAGTAATTATACAGTTCCGAGGTACGTGAACATCTCCACCTGCTCCGCTGCCTCTCCGATAATCTGAAGAGAGCAACGGGCAGGAGAACAAGAAAATACTAGGCTTTCCTTTTTAGATGCGTTCACATGCATGCAGGTCACGTCGCACTCGCCTGCGAACCTTTCAAGGGAGCACTGAAAATCAGTTTCAGGAGATGCTAATAAAACAAGGTCGTCTGCAAACAGCAACCTCCTCTTCTCTACATTTCCTACAATAATGCACTCATCAGCTTGGCTGCTCCTGACTATTCTATCCATGTACAACACAAGTCCATATACAATGGAAGAGAAGAGAGGACGCAACCTTGGCGGAGACCAGTGCAGCAAAACCGCAACAACTTCATGCCGTTGCATTTGAGGTCGCTAGGGCCGTTTAATCCAATCACGTCTTTCCACTTTTCAGCGTCTACTCCGATGTGCACATTAAAATCACTAATCAGTATGAGGGACTCTGTATTTGGCACTTCGGACATAGCACACTGCACTTCCTCAAAGAAGGTCTCATACTCTCCCTCCAAATTGAGCGCATGGACTTGTACCAAGGTCATCGATTTAGCTTGTTGTAGCTTCAGTCAGAGGATTACCACCCTTCCACTAACAGGCTTCCAATCAATGATTCTATCCTCGATGTTTGGTTCTACCAGAACACCATTACCGGCCTGAGCGCGAGTCGTGATATCGACGACTGATCAGAATAGCTTCCATCCGCTGAGGTTCAGGAGTCCAGAGCCTTGGCGCTTCGATGACGAAAGTCCAACAATGTCAAATTGACACTTTATGGCCTCATCAACTAATTCTTGTGCTTTTCCTTTGAGTGAGGATATGATGCAATTTCCGACTTTAAGCTCGCACTGGTGGTGTCTTTCTCGTGGAGCCTTTCCTAACGTGCTATAATGGCATGGCGCTGTCTGCCTCCTCCGTTCA